ACTATTTCTCTATATCATACTGATTCCCCTTTGACCTACTACGATTAACGCATAATTATGCGATAAGATTGGGGAAATTATCGAAACTTGCACCACTTGTGACACTAGTTTAAAATCAAAATACCATCATCATATAATGAGGTTGTTTGCAAAAAATTAATGTGGATTGGTTACAGTTTATTGATTTATTAAATACAAATATAATATTCTTACCATACCTACATAGTTATTGTGTTAAGATAAGGTCATAAATTGATCAGGTTTGATGACGCACTCACCATCTCTAATTTAACAACGAAGCTTCTAAAGAAACTTCTTCTAGCTTTTTGATGAATTAATAACCTTAATAACATCGATTATAATGACTTTGGAAATCTTTATATATATAATATAAGTCTTCTGTACGTGTGTATGTCACTGAACTCCTAAACGGCTGGACCGATTGTAATGAAATGTTTGTGTCTTCAGGTCGATTCGAGAATAGTTTAGATTCACAATTCGGTTTTTTTTAAGGTGTCGAATTTAAATCGTGTGTACAGGACGTCTGTTCGGTCCGCTAGTTGGTAAACAAAATGAACAAAATTAAAACATTATAAGAACAAAAGTTCGAAAAAATTGTCGCCGCTGCGGGAATCGAACCTACGTCTTCGGCATTCGCGGCCTGACGGTCTGGCCACTAAGCTACTGATTGCCACACCGACGAAAATGCTAACGTCTTTTATCTACATTATTTAGCATTTGAAGCAACTTTTTCTACATGTTTCATTAATGTTCAATCTTAAGTGCAAAGATTAGCACTAGAAATTAATTAAATTTATAAACAAAATTATTAGGTACATTGTTTTACCATTAAGTAAAAGCTAATTATAATATTATTCTTTTTTTTTTCAAAATCAGTTGTTTTTTCATAAAATTAAAAATATTTTCCTTTAAAAGTTAAAAAATACCTATTTTCCTTTGATTATTTATTTATTTTTAATTATTACGAAAGGTTTGCTGGCAGAGAACTCTGTTTAGGGTTAAGCTCGCCTTTGTACAGTCTTTTTTGTAATCCTTTATTTGTAACTGTATTTTTTTTTTTTTTTTGTGTACAATAAAGAATAAGAATAAGAATAAAATTTTTGAACAATGTAATGATCTGAATCATCAAAGTTGCTCAATTTTAACGTAATTTCCGATCCAAGAAAGTACAAAAATCAAATAAAAATGTCACAGGAAGAATAGGCAAACAGCAACCAGGAAGATACTGTTCTGTTCATATTTTATAATTTACATCTCTTACCTTCATTAAAGCGAAACGTTGGTCGTCGTCTATCCCCATGACTGTGTTGGATACTGGAGCCATTATCACTAAAATGTAGTACTGTTAGTTTTATAATTTTGTATTATAGTTTATTACTGCGAAACTAATAGCAACACAACACGTCTTAACGCCACGAGCGCGGAACGTACGTATTTGTTTGAGTGGTGGGTGTGATTGGGAATGGTGATTGGTGTAATGATGTTACTACTGTTGATAATCGTTGTGTACTGTCAAACTGTCAATTGTCATCCATTGACCATTCTATTGTGTTGTCGGCTGTCACTGTCAAAACACGAATGTTATTGGAAGTAGGAGTAGGGGGGCAAGTGAAAAAATATATCGATATTTATCGTATCGGTTATTTATCAGTATCCACAATTATCGAGTAAAAAACAATGCTATTTCAACATTTTCGCGTGTTTTTCAATACATATTCCAATTAAAACGATAGAAATAAGTAACAGAAAAAGAAATATAAAAGTTCTAATTTATGTATGTAATTATAATTATACAATATACACATTTAAAAGCTACCTTATGAAAAAATTTACGTGATTTGCTTTTTATTTATTCTAAAACTGTATTATGTCTTATGTTGTCTTACTTTGGTGTTCCGATTTAAACACGATATTTGTATTGCAAAAGCAAGCAATACGAGCTGTCTATGGCCTGGGTCCACGTGAGTTCGGCATATTTAAAAAAAAAATAAACATCTTAACGCTCCCGTCGCTATACATACTTGAGAACATCATGTATCAACCAAATTACATACACCTTTTAAAAAAAAACATACCACATCGCGTTGGGGCCGTGGTGACGCCTTGGAATTACCGAGGTTTTGGACCTATTATCATGTTGAGGCATACAATGAGGACAAGGATGTGTGGAAATTACTCTATATATATATAAATGAATATATATATATATTTGACCGCAGAGTTCCTTGCTGTTCTTTTCTTGCAGGTCTAGTTCAGTGAACCGGTGGTAGTTTTTGACGTTCAATAAGAGCTTAAAATAAGCCTATGTTGAATAAAGGAATTTTTACTTTGACTTTGAAAGGATCAATTGATGTCTTAAAGAGTTTCAACAATTTTTGACATCGTACTACTTTTGGCGTGTTTGAAAATAAATCCGCCAAAGCGCCCTAAGAGCGTGGCGACCTACCAAACTGGTGAAATTAAAAATAGCTTGTTGGCCCGAGCCGAGGCAGGCCCGAGGGGAGCCCTCGAACTTAGTCACCATAACGCGTAATAATAATAGTGCCGAGGTTCAGGCTAGACCTCAAGTCCGGCGAAACTGTAAAGGCCCCTAAGACCAACAATGGCTCATAAAGCGCAAAAAAAAACACTAACACTAATCAGGCGCATATACAAAAAACAATGATACGGTACACTGACTTATCTTCAAACAAAAATGAACTTATTTGTTAATTCAACTATGTCTATACTAATTTGTACAATCTACTAGTTTCGGCGTTTCAAAAATATAGCAGCACAAACATTGGGCGCAGTAGTTGCCGTAATGCCAGACGCCATAATGAATGTAATAAACATAATTATTAATTAAACAATTATTAATGTTATGTTTTTTTTATGTATTTTATCGGACTGGCGCGCGAAGGGTTCCGTACCATTGTGAATAAAAATGGCAAAAAATCATGTCTGTTCAAATTTCAACTTTCTAATTATCATGTTTCATGAGATACAGCCTCTGGTGATAAAAGGACACGACAGACAGAGAGATAGACGTTTTTAGCCTTTGGGTATGGAACCCTAAAAAGAACCGACTTCAAAAAACTCTATTAGCGCTAAAATAATTAAACTAATAATAAATCCAAAATAATCAAATCTTTAAAATCTTAACTATGTAACCTAAGCCCTAACAAAATTTAACAATTTTTGGAGTCGGTGCCAAAGTGCCAAGCCCAGTACATCTGGTCTGAGTATAAGATCATTCCCTTAACTTTGTTACACAATTTAGGTCGATTAGATACATAATTAAATACCTACATATAACAATGTTTTAACATATCTATTAGTTAACAGCAATATTCATTGTTACTTAGCTTTTTCTACTTTTTTAGTCAGGTGTTATGGTGTACAACCATTACCCATGATGACAATGGCACCGACTCCAAAAATTGATTAATTTTGTTCATGTTTTACTAAATTGATTATTGTTTTTGCTTTAGAATAACATTATCCTGTGTTGTAAGGACGTTTTTACAAACATAAATTACACGCGGACAAACACCCAGATGCGGAACAACTATCTGTGGGTCACACAAATAGTTGTCCCGTGTGGGGATCAAACCCACGAACCCCGGCGCCGAAGCCAAATACCTTGGCAACTGCACCACGGAGTCATCGTTTTTTGCGTCAGGTTATATTGTTTGATATGATAGAAAACAAACAAAGACATCTAAGCGATGCGTCACTTCACTGTTAAATAGGTTACGTATGACAACATACATATAAAAAAATACCGTAGTAGTTTACGACGGCTGTAAAAAGGTTTTAGAACGCAATTAAAATTATTCGACAAAAAAATGTGAGTTCACCAATAAAACGAGTAAACATTACATTCTGATAATTAATTGAAACAAACTGTTTCTATTTTGGCAATAATAAGTAAAGTTAATACTGAGTCACAATTGTTTACTGATGCAATACACAATAATCGTCATTTGTCACACAAATCTTGTAAAGAAAGTACATATTGCTAACACATATCGGAAAAGTAGACTAGTGGAATCTGTGGAATGATGACAGAGATGGAAAGTTGAATACCAAGATTTCTATTTCGTTTAAATTATGCTGTAATGTACACAACAATGCAAATCATAGAATGTGTCACACATTAAAATATATATCTACAATGGAAAAATGTTCAAAAACTTTATATAAAACATGATATTAATAGATAATTGTGTTAACCTTGGTTTTAAAATATAAACTAACAGAATTTTTACATGTTGCCTGTCTGGGGTATTTTAAACATATCAAGAAAATAATAACTTAATCATCACAACAGTAGCCTCATAGCTGGAATGTCTGATAGTGTTTTGAGGTAGTGACTTGGAATTCTTTCTAGAGACATAAGTTTCGCAACGGTGGTAGGGCCACGCAACAGTGTTCGCTGTTGCACGAATGGGCTGGTCCATCCGGGTTAGTACTACAACCTCGCAGAAGACCGTCGTAAAGTAGATGTGTTGCACTTCTGTGTTTCGTCAGGTGAGTGAGGTAGCTGGGACCCACATTATTAAGAGGTGGCAACACATCTGCAAACCTACGAGTGTTGCAAATGTCCATGGGCAGGCGGTTATCATTTAACATCAGGTGGACCGTCACCTCATTTGCCACTACCTAGCATAAAAAAAAAACATTTTACAATGCAAACAATGTGGCAACAGGACCTCTGACTAGTGTTGGAAAGCCCATTTTTCCCTTAAATCTTTCGAGATTTTTTTTCAAATTATCATGAATGGGTAAATTGACAAATCTAAAAAAGAGCTATCTCTAGCTTTTTCAGAACTTTTTTAGATTAGCGAATTTTTAATTTATTCACTGCTGTATATCTCATATAGGGATAGGGATTCCACACTTATTTATTAATCTAATATGTAATAGCACCAATTAGTTTAACTAAAAATTAATATAAAATTATATTTTATTTAATCTTAATACAAAATAACTTATTTCATGACAGTGAAAATTACTCCCCCTCTCTCTGGTTCTTCATCATGTATTTCTTTATCACTGCCCTCATTATCAGTAGTATCTGCAGAATCATCACTGTCAGCTTGTCTATATTGACCAAACTTAGATACGTCTTTCGGAATGTCAGACATTTTTATTCCTGTACGAGCAAGTAACTTCTCTGCAGCATGTTGCACCTCTACTTCCTTCAGATGTATGTTATATTCTTTCTGAAGCTTCAAAGATTCTTCTAAGGAAAGCGCTATTGCAGGACCATGCACAATAGGAGGTGGTGTTGCTGCAGTCACTTCCCAATTTTTGTGTTTTTTTCTATGTATTTCTTTTTTGGGGTTATGGACATCTGATTTTGTTGTCTTGAATGGCTTATAATGGCCTGATGTCTTGGGTTTTGGAATTTGCTCAGCTTTTTGCACTAAGTATTTAACATGTGGTATTTCTCCAATATTAAGCAAGTCAACAGGAGTTACTAATGGTTTCTCTGGTTGTAACACTTTCACATTTTTTTCTTGTGCTGTACTTTGACTGAGGACATACATGACATCCTCTGGTTCACTATCATCATCAGAATCCAAATATGTGTTTTGTTTTTCACTGTCTAATTTACCTTCCCATTCCACATTTTGGACCCTTTCATTATTCAAGTTCAAATCTTTCAATAAATTGCATGTATTTTCCTCATCTTGTTTCAACTTCAATTCATAAACAATTTTGTCATAAAACAACTTAA